AGCAGCTCTGGATGCCGGTCCGACCTCGGACATCTGGACAACCAGCTCCGCGCCGAGCTGCTCCAGTCCGAGCTCCTCACGAGCGCGTGGGACGAGGGCGTCGAGGTGCACACCAAGTATCACTCGGAACTGCAGCTGATCCACTACCTCACGAAACACGACGTGGATGTGGCGTACCAGGCATTCGGGACGTCAAAGCCCGTGTGCTGGACGTGCGGGAGCTATATCGATCACCTCCCAGAGGGCGAGGACAACAAGTGGTGGTACTCTAGAGGCTGCAGCAAGGTGTACCATGAATGGATGATTCCGAATGAAGCGACGGACGAGGTGATCGAGGCGTTATTGGGGAGTTCTCAGGAACACATGGAACGGATTGTTGAGGAGGTTGCCTTTGACTGCTACTATTGATTATAGATACCCAAGAGCATGTCTGTATTTATTTCTCTTTCCACCCTAGGTATACATAATACGGTTCATACAAGACCGCTACTAATTAGAGGGTGAAATAGGGAGTCATACATGACTTGAGTCTTGAGCACAGTAAAAATGACACAGCAAGGTCATGTATAACTGTGCTCCCGCCTTTCCTCGTAGCAGTCCCGCCTCCTGAGTCCTTGCTGTATCTGACTCCCAAATTAGCTAAATTCACGACGAGATCACAATCAGAAAGGTGAATTGCTGCGCGATCATCATCGAGAAGCTTCGTGGCGGCAATAGATCTCTGGATGAAATGTGGCGCAATAAAAGACGATGGATACTTACTCACCTCGGGTTGTACTGTGTACAGAAGATGAGTAGATAAACAGACTACGAACATAACGGCATCCAAAACAAATCAGTGCTGGTCCGGCGTCATCGGGATACTTAATCGCCCAGGCGACTGTACAATATGTACTTAGACTCAAATACGGTTTCACCGTATAGCGCCATTCAATCCAAAGAACTCCCCATTGTCACTCGTTTCATACTAGCTGCTGAAAAAGATCCAAATCCAAAGTTGCCCAGATAGCTCGTTACGAAATACAAAAAGGATAGCAAAGTACGCGTAATGTTCGAAAAAAGTGAGTAGAGGATAAATAATGCTCCGCTCGTGAGATCATAAGAAAGCGTAGAAAATAGTCCTAGTCCAAAAGTTTAAGGTGCAGAACAGTCCGGTATTTGAACGTTCTTCAATGTGCGGCTAAAAGTAGGACGACGCAGATTAGCAAACCGAAGACGAGGGACAGAACAGCGGCGACTTACTTCTGATGGAAGAGACCCCAGTAGCCCTCAACACCACCGTACATCTCATCCTTCCACTTCTCGTCAAAGAACTCAAAGTAGAAGTATCCAACGTTGTTCGTGTTCGCTTGGCAGACAAAGTTGTCGAGGAACGTCTGCAAGTTGGCCTCTGACGCGGTCGAGGCGCCGTTGCTGTCGTGCGCGGTGTCGTTGGCTTGTGATGGCCATCCAGTCTCGGCAATGTACATTTGGGGCTACACCAATCGTCAGTCAGATCAAATGGGATGTGTAGTAGGAGAACAAACGCACCTTGTTAGGGAGAGTAGCGGCGTGCTGGACGTTCTCCTCGTCAAACGAGGTGAATGTCCAATTCGCGGCCTGGTCAATGGTGACATCTGCGAACCACGGGTGGACATTGGCCAACTACGCCTTACGCGTCAATACGTAGATTGGCGGGCGGAGAATAGGAATCACGTACGCCATAGTCAACCGCCTCGAGCACGAGATCGTTGAAGTAGTACCCAGCATCAGAGTTGCCGACTTGCATGTCGCCCATCCCAAGGTCTTGGAGCATGGACCGTGTGTCGTTGATGTAAGTTACTAGCTTCGCGCCCGCGACGTTACCAGTCGCACCGTTCGGGTCACCGCCCTGGTCCGTAACGTAGCTTGAAGGAAGGCGTTAAATACACGAAATCAAAAAAGTCATAAGACTCACTTGAGGATAAACTCATTCCCCACAGTAATGCCCGCAACATGATCACGGCCGTACGTCTGCAATGCCTCCTTGATAGCGTCGCGCTGGCGGGTGTACACGGTGTCGTCTGTTATATCGGGATAGTTGCCGAGGTACACCTTCATGTCAACCTTGGTCTGCTTGATCGCCTCCAACTACAAGCATGACATTAGTCCACAAACTCGGATCGGACACGAAGACAGCGACATACGACAAGCGCGGACTGATTACAATCGGATCCATACAAACGGAGACGGTTTGTTAGCTGAGACATGAGCTGGACAAATCCATTAGCCGAGCAGCCCGGAATGCGTCAAGTGCGCGCGCGTACCTGTATGTCGACGATGATATCCTTCAGCACGCTCCCGCAATTCGGCATGAGAGAGCCAACAGGCGTATACGCGAGGCCATATAACGATTTATGCAGTCTCGCATCCTTCGTAAAGGAACTGGGGTCGTTGGGGTCCGTCTGTGTTGTACCGCCAGGCCCGTCCTGGGTGGGTTCGTCGCTGGAGGAGCTGCTGGAAGAGGAAGCCGCGGAATTGTTGTTGTTGTTGTTCTTATTCTTCGAAACGCCGACTCCTACACCGACACCGATGGCTACCAGTATGAGCAGTGCCGTTATACTGCCGATGGCCTACGATATCTGTTAGAAAACATCGAAAGAAAGGAAAAAGAGACGCACAATCCACTTGGCCCGCTTATTGCGTTTCTGGCTCTTCTCCAGAGCATAGGACATGCCGGACTGGGCGGATGGTTGTTGTAAAGGAGCGGACGTCAATTGGTCACTTGACGACATGGTGGACTAGAAGCCCCAAGAAGAGGAGAGAAGAGTAGGATATAGGAAGGAGGTCTTCCAAGGGAGGAAAAGGCTAAGCCGCCGCGAGAGTGGCTGTAACTGTGAGGGAAGGGGACCTGAAAAAAATCTTGCCCGCACTTTAATAGTCATACCAAGGCCTAAACATGCCGTTAGAGATCACCCCCATGGCCTGCAATTAATTGATTCACGCGGTGTTTGACACCGCCCTGAACATTGATGGGGAGAGCGGGCGTTGTTTCAGGAGGATGCGAACGGGCAGATCACGATCATTGAAGTGCCAAATGTTCGTCGCCATAATAAACATCACTCGTATGTCGTCGAGCGTGAGCAGTATTTTTATCTGCGCAGCGAGAGAGGATCAGCGTTTTCCACTTCCAGCGCCTTCCCCAACAAGGGTCAATCTGCCGGGAACTAGGCCCAAACAGTCTAAAACGAAGACCTTGTCAGCGTCTGCGAATAGGATGCATATAAATAGCCGAACGGGACCTCAAACCGCGTCTCGAGTTTCCTAGGACATTCTTGACCGCGTCCGACACGGATAGGCATTGTCTCTTCTGCATGGGTCTCTTGTAGCTGCGCTTAGGCTGACAACGGCCAACGAATCGTTCAAGATCGAAGACATCGGCACGATTAGTAAAAGATACCGAATGGGCCCGTGGATAAGCGCCACCATCGTGCAGACCATGAAGTCTAGCCAGAACTTCAAGCTACTCATTTAGAAACACCGACCGAAGTTTACTTGTCAACGCACGGAATGCACTGTACTCTGTTGTTGGAAACTGTAGGCAGAAGGGCTAACTCCCTGGGTGTCCCACCGGAGACGGTGAAAATACTGCAGCGAAATTGTATTTCTGATTCCGTTAACATCGTATGACACGTAGGCGTTGAACATAGAAGGCTTACCTCTGGACGCACATGTTAATCTGCTGATTGAGCTGTGGTTTCGAAGTGGCAGGTTCTCGACAACTTCTGGGCGAAGATGTAAGTACGCTTCTTTTGCGTTTCTCCTCGTCTCACCATGTCTACTGAAGTCGAGGATCCACTACTACGACCATTCTGTGTCACTGTCTTTCTTTTGACCCCAAACACCACAGGGTATGACATTAGCATGACCAGCGTACGATGTCACTCCTCAACATGTAGTGGAACCGTTCTCCCTAAGATTATGTCAACACTGAACGTCGCTGACAGCGAACTAACCTGGAACACAGAACATGCTAAAAGTGGAAGTGCAGTGAATCCATAGCACGATGTCCTAACCACGCAGAGCCTAGCCACTTTTTGCAGTGTCTCAGGCTTGGACAACACGCATCTTTCGTCGCAATTCAGCGAGAAGACTCTAAATTTGAAGGGGTCGTTCTTGGCACTCGGAAAATACACGAAGCGGAACGTTAGGGGACTGAATTCACGTCAAGGATGAGGGGGGCACTCGAAGGCGTTGATTCTATTATGGAATACAAGTGTGTATTAAACCACCTGGCACGAATTATTTGGGCGAAATAAAGGGTTGCGGGGATACATACCTCCTCGCGCACTTAGTGCCCTTCACCACCAGCAGCCGCGACAGCCGCGAGATGTCCAGCTTTGCTTTCGATGTATTCGGTGTAGTTGTTGGCCCAGGTGTAGACTCCGTAGCCTTGACGCAATATAAGCACCGTACAACGCGGTTTGAAAAAGGCGAGACTGACCAAAGCTAAATGGAATAACCCAGTAGATGGCCTCTTTCGAAAGACGCCTGTATCCGTTGAAGAGGTAATCGCGTGCCCAGTGGGGTGCGGCTTTGGACTGGAAGGGGGACAAAGCTGTAGAAAAATGTCAATTAGCGTGTGTATTAGCAACGTCTTATTAAAGCACGCACTGTACTGGTACATCCCCCGCTGCTTCACAAGGCCGTGCTTGTCGCCCCACCATACGTTCTACGCCGCCATTAGCATCGTTCGTCATAACCGCGGCATGATTGGCTCACATAGGCCCGGCGGGCTGCAAAGCGTGAAAATGGTCAGAATACGGCCGAGTTCATCGTGCACGACGACACTCACGACCAGGCATGTCCCCAAGACGGATAAGTGAAGGTCTCATTGTTGTGGATGTAGTTGAAAGGTGCTCAGCGTTGGCGTGAAGCCGATAGTCCCCGGTCAGTCCCCGGTAAGGAGAGCTTCAACCTCAAACATGTACAAATAGCGCGCCATCCGCGTTACGTCAGATCAAGTTTGATTCAGGGAGCGTGGCGCTATAGTGTAGTGGCAGCACATGGGATTCTGATTCACTTGGTCCTCGATCTTCCCATAACCCAGGTTCGACCCCTGGTAGTGCCTTTCGCCAGCAGTCGATTTTTTAAAGTTTACTTCAAGGACAGATTGTGCCGCATTTTAATTTATCTTGGCCCAGGCCCAAAGCGAAATACCACTTTCTGACCTCCAATAGCTGTCAAAATAATCAAATACCCGTAAGACTTGGCCCTTGGGCCCTTGGGGCCTGGGCGTGAGTATGTCCGCTTCAACTCGTTATAACTTCAGGGAATTAGCTGAGAAGTTGCTCGTTTCACAATGAAGGGACTGGATCAGACTGGATCACCCGAAATTGCACTTCTAATACTAGCTAGGTTCAAAGTTGGGCCTCTACGAGGCTCCACCGCGAGATCTACGGTGAGGCCCAGTAAGAACGGCGTCTGTTATTTGCCGTTTCCTTGCCTTTGTTTCTGTAAATCTGTTTGTATACAGAAAAACGACCGAAATACAGATTTTTTTCTGTTAATATTCGTTCTAATCCTTTTGAATTTCTGTTTCCTTGCGTTAAATCTGTTTTCGCTTTTGAGATACAGAAATATACAGCTACGTGATTACTCCCAGTAAGAACGGCGTCTGTTATTTGCCGTTTCCTTGCCTTTGTTTCTGTAAATCTGTTTGTATACAGAAAAACGACCGAAATACAGATTTTTTTCTGTTAATATTCGTTCTAATCCTTTTGAATTTCTGTTTCCTTGCGTTAAATCTGTTTTCGCTTTTGAGATACAGAAATATACAGCTACGTGATTACTGGTGATACTAATCCCTACCCACCACTCCTGCCTTCCGCCGCCGCCCACTGCAAACCTGCCAGACGTGCGCCGCCGCGTTGCACGGGTTCCATGGCTTCGTCGACATCGTTATCAGTAACCGGTTCGGGGCGCTACGACGCGACGGAGTCAGTGACAGAGTAGACACAAAAATGGCACTACACACCGATGGGACCGCGACGCAGATGCAAGGGTAGATAACACACATGAGCGTGACCAAATGAACAGCGATGCCTGCGAATCAAGGTTAGAATACATTGTATGTGGGAGTCCTAATTCCGTACTCGCCTTACGGACGTACTGTCAAATAGGCCTTATGCCACCCTGGGCGATCTTGTTGTGCGTGTTGCGCGCCCTTGTCCTGGATCCGCCGGTCGTCCTCGTCGGGCGTAGCGGGCCGCGGCGTCGGCGCACCACCGCTTTCAAGGTCCTGTGGGTTCCACTCTTGGTCGAGCCGTGATGGCAGCAGTCGCGCCCACATGCCACAGAGGGTCAGGCTGTCGTTGTCCAGCAAAACCAGCATTGCGGGCGCACGAAGGGAGGGCCACAGTAGGAGAGGGACGATAGTCGACGGCGCTGACGTGGAGGTAAGAGGGAGAGAAGCGTATTACGTCAATCGATGCGAACAAGTGCTTTTAAGTCGCGACCAAGTTGCGACGTCCAGATTGCAATGAAGAGTATCGAAAGTTTTCGAAACTTGACTTACTTTGTGACAACTCTGGGCAAAAGTTGGCGAAAGTGAGTGATTCTGCAAACCTTTGTTGAAAGATTTAGAGACTTCTCAAAGATTCCAGATTGAAAGCTATCAAAATTACAGAAAATTACAGAATCATACGGAAAAGAACAGAATTAAAGGAAATAAACGTCAGGAAACGGAAACTAACAGACGCCGTTCTTACTGGGGGTGAGGCTCTATGTAGGCTCTACGAAAGATTTACCATACCAATATGTGACTACGTGTGACTGAGTCTGAACTCTTTCTGTTCGAGACGGCGTGGTGAGAGGATTTTGCGGACCATGTACAGCATACACCGCTTAATGAACAGATCGTGGAAGGCCGGCATTGTAGTAGGAGGCACATTTCGCACTTGGTTGCGACAAAGGCAAGAACCTGTAGAATAGTGTGACTCACCTTCGTCCTTATATGGCTGGACAGCGCAGGGATAAATTAATCCTTAGGCGCCTTTCCAGCCACATGGCATGAGACTGAAGTGAAAGCGTCGGGGGGAGGACGTGCATCAGTCTCAGTCATAAAGACGTGTCGCTGTCATCGCGCGCCCCCGGCCACCGCCCACCGGCGACTATGGTTGTCCAGGCATTTCGTATTTCTGCCAAGTTCGTCGAGCCGATGCCGTTCATAGGTAGCCGCGCATTTGTCGACTCCAGAAATCGCTGTAAATTAACATCATGATCATACATCATGAATTTAAATGGGGACGACAAATACCCACCTGAGGCTCTCTGGCATGCTCTGTGGCTTCCGACATAATCTGACCACCGTTTCAATTCAATTCCGACTGGCTCGTGGTTATAATAGGTTACTTGAAACTTTCTGGGACGACCAAAGGACGACGGAGATGGACGTCGATCGCATCCTCTGCCAGTTAACTTTGAAGTTCGAACTGAAATACGACCATATACGAGCGGAGTTCAGTTGTACCGATCAGGAAATGTGTAACAGGCCAACCCTCGCTGTTCTGGGGAACAATGAACGACCAACGGCTGGTTGCGGGTGGACGGGGTGGGCGTGGATAGGAGTGTGGGAATGTCCACAATACGACCACGTGAGAAATACCCAACTTGGCAATTGACCACCATTGTCGATCTGCGCTGCGCCATTGTTCCATTGTTCTGCCCTGCGCGCTGTCCCGTGACTGGAAATATAAAAGCAGATATTTCAAAATGTATCAAGCCATCCTCATCTTCGACTTTCTCACTCGTTCGTGGCCACTCATGCCTTCCGACGCGTTGACTACTCCCGCCGCCGATGTCTCCAATCCTATTGGGCCGCAGCCACCTCCCGACTTCCCTAAAACCCCCACGACTCGTCGCAATGCCCCCAGCCTCGCCGAGGTGCTGAGCACGCCCGCCGCCAGAGGCACCGCCAGCCAACAGAACGCGTATACACGCGAAGACATATCCCCCTACATCCTGGAAGATTTCAAGACCTCCAGGATATATCTCTCCTTTGAGATGTTCCTGCGAAAGGTCATGAATCTTCCCGATGACTGGGAATCCGACGCCAACTTCAAGGCTTGCGTAGACAAATTGGAAACGGACGTTGAGCTTCGAGAGAAGCTGGATGCCTACTTCGTTGAATGCGATGTCAAGAAGCACGCAGAGGACGCGCTCTACGTTCCCGCTGCATCCGTGTTCAATCGGGCGACCGATGTACTTGCGGCGCTTGACGGTATCGCACAGGATGACACTGTCTACGTCTATCGACAGGACAACAAGCGTATCAACGGCTCGCGGGGCAGAGCTAAATATTCTCCAGATCTCTGCACCACCCTTTACCAACTTTGGCGAACGTCCAAGAACAACGATCATCTTGCCGAGGTGGCGGAACGGGGTCCCCCCAATCCTGTTGGATACGGCCAGCTGATCGAATGGATGGATTTGAAGGCGGTACCAGCGCTTCTTGACGGTGGGGTGGGCGCTCATGCTGTGCTAGACAAAGGTGCGAACCCCCCTGCATGATATTGACAGTATGCTAACACTTTTTCTAGATGGCAAGGACCCGCGCGATGAAAAGAACATGAATCAAGCCCGCAGAGAGGCTGTCAAAAGCGACGGGCGCTCTCTGACGTCCCGGTTCTCTAATGCCACAGGGAAGAAAAGACCTCCACCTCTCACGCTGAGTCGTCGACGTCCAAGAAACTGAAATCGCAGCCACCGTCGAATGCTGCGAAGTCTGCTCATCAGTACTCTCAACCCCATTCTCAACAAATCACCTATGCCGATGATTCCGCCGACCGACTGAAAACGTCTTATCAGTGCGCTGACTACGCACTCCAGTTCATGAGCGACGGCGGTCTCAGAAATCATAGTTTCGGAAACCTGATCTGCGATGACCGCCTGCAGCTCCTGTATTACGACCATTCTTGTATCGCCGTCGCCAAGCCTCTCGACATGAGGCTTCATCGGCGCATGCTCATGCTTTATCTGGTTTGCCTACACAAGCTATCCTTCAGCGACCGTAGTGGCATCCCCAACGCTAGTATCCTCCAGAACCCGAAGCCGTACTTGACGGAATACAGCGACTATGCGAAAGTTGACGAGGATTGGTACAACATCTTGCTTGGTCAGGTCCTCCTGCTCGAGGATCAGACTGGTTCATTCGAGGTGACGCTGGGACGCATCATTGACCGACAGACAGGAATCATTGGGCGCTGCACCTATATCGTCAATGCGACGTGTGCCAAATGGCCCGGCATGGAACTGATCGTCAAGATCACTTGGTCTCCGACTAGCCGTAGTTCGGAGGCGGAGTTCATGCAGAGCGTTCAGGAGGCGGTATCCAAGACTGGTGCAGACTGGGTTCTGGACCACGTTCCGAACATTCTTCATTCCCAAGACTTCCCTCATCTCCCTGATGAAGTCGGAGGACGCCTCTCGGCGTTTCTTAACAACCTCGACGAGGACCACTGGGCATCCGATCCAGGTGACTTCGATTACGAAGAACGTGTTATGCGTGTCAGCGTACACGAGAAGCTCTTCAAACTGAGCGAGTTGGATACGGTTCTCAGTCATTCACAAGTATTTCACGACGTCGTGCAAGGTTCGTGACACTTTCTTTTATTGTCACATGCGCTAAATATTTCTATAGTGCATCGCTGGCTCTACGATTATCCTCGCATTCTCCATCGCGACATCAGTCTCGGAAATATCATGTGGCGCGTACGGCGAAATAGAGTTTGTGGGGTGCTGAACGACTTCGATTTGTCGTCATTCCGCGACTCAACGAAGCCTTCGTCAAAGCAACGCACCGGTACGCGTCCCTACATGGCTCGAGAGCTTCAGAACCCAGATGATATTCCGCCCAAACACCTCTATCGCCATGATCTCGAATCTCTATTCTACGCGCTCCTTCTCCTTGCCGGCGCCCATGTCCTTTTGGAAAACCCCACGACCGCCAGCATTACGCAGGAGCGGCAGTTCCTACAAGTCGATCTGCGCTCCCAGTATCGTACCTGGATGCACGCGGATGAAGTACTCTTGTACTCAGAGAAATCCAAACTGATGGGTAGGGGAGTGACG